GGGTGCTCCCTTTGGTTCCCCACCTTGGGCCAAGGGCTCCTCTATTTTCACCTCTTGTTGGATAGTGGGCCTTGCCTACCGCATTAAAGGACCCTCCTAGTGATTGGGACTTATGCTCCGGGAGGTGGCAGTGCCCTCTGCCCTTCAACATGACCTCCGCAGTGGCCAGACATTGGTCCAGGCTCTCCTGTGTTCCTTGCAATTGGTCCACCTACCGGACAAGATCTTTCACTTCCTGCCTCACAAAGCGGAAGAGAGTAAAAAACAACTAAGCCATCTGCCCCTGCTGATTCACAGTGGGGAAGAGGAATCTGTGTTTCCAATGTTTCCAAACCCCCTAAAACATCTCCAGTTGTCAGGCAGACCATCTCCCAGTCCTCTGGAGGTTTCCAACTTGCCAAGAAGGTAGCTATCGGCAACCAGAGCAAGGCTGGGGGGGCTCATGTCAGCAGCTCCCTGGAGTTCTACCTTATTGTCAGGCACTACTTTCACAGATGCCGTGGGGACACTCACCTCCACATCCTGTGGACTATGCCAAGTCTCCAGGTTACAGGGAGCCTGAAGGGGTATTTTTTTCGGGTGAGATCCCCAAAGAGAAGGCATGTGGAGCAGACATTGGCCAAAGCAACAACAGAGCTCTTTATTAGACAGCGCTTACATTGGCCATTATCACATACTGAGACAAAACATCTGTGTGTCCTTGCATGGCTGTGTTGCACATCTGTGGCTGTCTATGTTAATTCATTGTTACATGAGGAAGCCAGTCATGTGCCTGTGCTAAACAATGGGGTCATGTCTTCCAGGAGTCCTCAGACACCTGGGCTTTGACACATGTCTCACAATGGCTCCCACAACAATCTTCTTGGTCTGTTGTCCTTGGAGTAGCAGAATGGAGTTCTTTTAGAGCCTTTGGGCCTGTGGTTACACATTGCTCAGAATCGTGTAGACAAGTCGCTAGATATGACTGTGTTGCCTGTGCAAAAACAACCATTTGGGGAGCTTGTTAAAAAATAGCAATTTCTAGGCCCTCATACCCAAAATTTTGGATGGTGTATGACTGGTGTGGGGCAAAGGAAGCCATATTGTTAACAGAGTCCTGAGGTGATTCTGATGCAGTGTGTCTACATGCCATGACTTGTGAACTCTGATGTATTTTATAGAACATTGCATAGACGCTTATACAGTCTTGGTGGTATGCTGCTTCTACGTCATCCTTCTCCACATGATGTCAACACAGCACAGTCAGTGATCTCAGACCAGTTCTAATAGTGTGATCCAGCCTCGGTGCTGGCTGAAACTTGTCAGAAATGCAGGTTCTTGGACACTACCCTGCACCCACCAAGACAGAAACCGGGAGTAGGACCCAGCAATCTGTGTTGTAACAAGTCCTAAGAGCAATTCTGAGGCACCCTGAAGTTTGAAAACATTTGGTACCATTCATTGCTTCACAAATTTGCTGATAATGAGAATTGTTTTAGTTTCTTGTTCAGCGTACAGATTCCAGAGATGAATCCGAAGTGGGGCTAGGAATGTTTGCTTAACAAGCCTTGCAGGTGATTCTTACTGTCAGGTAAACCCTAGAGATCCAGCTTTGATTTGCTTTTCAAACTATAGCATGTATGAAAAACACCTGGAAAGCTCTTCCTCTGCTGCTGCTGCTGCCGCTGCTGCTGCTGCTGCTGGTCATACTGATCCTGAGATCGTACTTTGACCAGAACGGCTGTAGAGACAAATTAGATGCAGAAGAAAAAGTGATATGGATAAAAGTACAGATGTACTTCAGAAGCAAATCATTAGAAATCTGACATCTAGAAAGACTCTTAGGAAAACTGAGGAAGGCCCTGGATGTTTTTGTCCAAAGGAGTCTTTATATGAGAAGAAAATATCAAAGTATAGGCTTCAGTATTAGTAGATTACTCTTGGAACCATGAGCAAAATTGCTTATCAGCTACCAAAAAGGCTCTTTATTGATAAGAATCCATGATTCAATATAATAACTCTTAAAAATGAAATTCCAACCAAACTGTTTCCCACTGTTTACTATAAAATTTTGGTCCCTGCTTCTGGTAATTATTTTTTGTATTAATGATGTTCACCAACACAGGATTTCTTTACTTCTTAATTGAGAGATGAAAGAATGTGAATTCACTGGGGTTGCAAAGCAGAAGCCAGAAGTACCCAGCACATTTAGGAAATGTATTTGAAGTATTATATATATTATTATAACTATTACAATTCACCCATTTAACGTTGTCTAAGTCAGTGGCTTTTAATATATCCACAGTGATGTGCATCTGTCACCAAAACCAACTTTAGAATATTTCTGCTACTTCCAAAGGAAACCCCATACCACTTGGCCACCACTGTCCCCATCAGCAGTAACCCTCCAACCTCTCTGTGCCCCACCCCACCCTAGAGATTTCTATTCTGGACATTTGGATAAGTAGAACTGTACAGTGTATGGATCCTTGTGCTTGATTTCAAAATGACTGCAAGGCTTATGCATATTGGAGGATGAAATAGTATTTCATCTCTCTTTACTGCCAAATATTCCATTTTATGAACATGCACCATATGTTATTTATTCATTAGTTGATGTATATTTGGGTTGTTTCCACTAATTATTTCTTAACAGCCTCGTTATGGTATTTTATTCTATGAAATATACCCATTTTAAGTGCATAGTTTGATGATTTTTAGGAAAGGTCTGCATAAATGCAACCAAAACCACAATCAAGATTGAAGAGTTTCATCACCCCAAAGAGTTCCCTCCTGTTCCTTTGCCACTATCCCTGTTCCCACCCCTGGCCTCATGATCTGTTCTGTATCACTAGAGTTTTAATGATCGATTTTGTGTCACTCTAGTTTTGGTTTTCTGAAAAGTTTCTGTAAATGGAATCGTGGTGTTCAGTCTTCTGTGTCTTCCTTCTTCCCACTGGCACGTTGTGTTTTGGAGATTCGTCTGTGTCATTGCAGGTATTAATAACTCCTTTCTGTTTTCGAGAAACTTTGGTCTCAGTCACTTTCTCATTATCGGGACAGTATAGCCGCCACCCACAATTTAAACGAGGAGAGGTTTATTTTGGCTCACAATTCAATTCAGTGTTGGCAAGATCCAAAGAAAGAAGAGGACGGCAGAGGGGCATGGTGGAGAAGAGATGCTCATGGCATGGCGGAAGGGAAGCAGAAAGAATGAAGGGCGGAAGTGGGAGAGGAGCTAACTCCCTTCCAGTCACACGCCCTCTGCCTTACCTCTTCCGGCCAGACCCGGTCTCCTAACATCACGGTTAGCAAGAGCGCTCCCACAAGCCAGTCAGTCACCTTTCAGAAGCCCCACCTCTGAGCTCGTGAGGCTTAGGGGGACATCCAGATATAAACCACAACATATTCCACTTTATGGGTAGAACGTTTTTCTCTGGTGAGGGAATTTAAATCTTGCGAATTGGGGGCTGTTATAAATGATTCCGCCGTAACGCTTGCATACAAATCTTTATGTGCACACATTTTCATTTTCATTTTCATTTCCAGAAATTTCTCCAAGTATAGTTATTTATCCTTATTTCAGTTATGTTAGTTTTTCCTTCACACACTTGTTCTGTTTTAGGTGAATATATTTTTATAATTTTTAAATGAATTTACCTAACATATCTTCATACAAATTTTCCTCTTCAATTCCTTATGTAAAATCCTATTTTGTCGTACATTAATAGAGTCACTTTAGTTCCCTTATCATTAATATTTGTGATATAAATTTTTCAGCCTCTTTGTCTTTGACCTTGTAATTTCTCTTATTAACTCCATATTTCTTTCTTTTTAATCCAGTCTGTGATTAGTGTTTATCTCATTCATTCATATTTAATATAATTATTGATATGGTTGGATTTTGACCTGTTTTATTTGTTATATCTCATTTCTTCATTTTTATCCCTCTGTTACTTATTTATTGTTTTCATTTGATGGTTAACAAATCCTGATTATTATACTATTTATTTAATTCCTCCACAAATTTTCTTTCTCTCCCTTCTTCCCTCCCTCCCTCCCTCCCTTCCTTTGTTTCTTTTTTCTTTCTTTCCATTTTCATTGCTAGGTTATTGAATCTAGGGCCTCGTGCATGCTAGATAAGTGCTCTATCACTGAGAAACATCCTCAGCCCCATCTATTAACTTTTTAGCTATATAGTTGATTTTCTTCCAGTGATGTGTTTGCACTGGAGATTATAATATGTATCTTTTAATACATCATTATTTAGTTCAAATTAGGCTGGTTTAATTCTAGTGAAACAGCAGTTTTTTATACATGTTGCTCCATTTCCTCCCACTGTCAGTAACCTTTATGAGCCTGAGATTTTACCCTACTTGAAAGTTAGCAAAGCAACCTACCACAGTTCAGTGGATTCTGATGGAGGACTGAGGGTTCCTGCTCAGAAACAAGGAATAATGTATTACTCACAGCAACAGCATCAGCCAGAGCATCATGCTGTGTACCAGTTCCTGGAGCCTTGATTCCCACAGCGTGACGCAGCAAGGGGAAAATCTAATACAGTTCACTAGAGCATGATTCATGGTTTTGCCAACAGGATAGTGGGAAAATAGATGCTCTGCAAAGTAAGTTTGTGAAATTATACGACTATATTTACCTTATGTACATGTACAATGTCCATTGTTATATTAAAAGCTCTTAGAAGTCTTACAGAAAAGTAAGCTATTTAATTTTCTTTGAAGCAAGAGTTCCCAAAATTTTTTCAATCATTCGTTTATAATCATAACAGTGCAGAAATAGTGTTCTACATTACTCACTTTGACAAACACTGGTCTAGCAAATAAGAGAATAAAATATAGGCTACTTGTTTTTAAGTCATTGTTAAGAAATTTGCTATTTTTGTAATAAAATGAACGTTGTTCTTCCTAATGTCTTTGAGCTGTTTAACATACTTCTGTTGCGTAAGTGATGGGAATCAAGTATGCATCACATTTATCTGTGGACTCTGTTTCTGTCTGTAGGCGACGTACTCAACCTCGGCGACAGACAGCTCACGGTCATGCACATGCCGGGCCACTCCAGGGGCAGCATTTGCTTACATGACAAAGATCGGAAGATTCTCTTCAGTGGGGATGTGGTCTATGACGGCTCGCTGATTGACTGGCTCCCGTACAGCAGGATAAGCGACTACGTGGGCACCTGTGAACGTCTGATAGAGTTAGTGGACCGAGGCCTGGTTGAGAAGGTGCTTCCTGGGCACTTTAATACCTTTGGTGCAGAAAGGCTTTTTCGATTGGCTTCTAACTATATTTCGAAAGCTGGCATATGTCACAAAGTATCTACTTTTGCCATGCGATCTCTTGCAAGTTTAGCCCTACGTGTAACAAATTCGAGGACCTCACCCTAGTATCGACACTGGTGCTCTATTTCTATTAACCATATAAGTTAACCCATTTCATTTTGTGCTGTTTAAAATGGTTAACATGAGCATTTCAAGAAGTGCATTTATACCGCTATTGTGTGCTACAGGAGAAAAGATTGAGAATGATAAGCCAAAAAAAGGAAAAGTCAGTGTTTTTCTTTTTTCAAGTAAGAAACCACTTAAATAAGCTTATAATTTGCCAAAGCTGTAATTTTGTAATATTTGCTCCAAAAATGCCATAAGAGAACGTAGAAAAGCAAGAAGGCATTTTATAGCAAGTAAAATAATTTTTCTTGCCCACTTTTATTATTTCCTAGGTCACTTAGGAAAAAAGTCATATGGAATTTTACACTTACACTCTAAACTCGGTTTTTTTGTTTATTATTTAAAGACAAAGTTCCTTGGGTTCAAGATACACATTAGAACTCAGTGCTAACAAATAAACTAACAGAGTGACAAGTCAAACATCCCATGGTATGGTCCTCAATTTTTAATGCTTCCTTTAATTTATTATTTATGTAATTATAGCATACATTATATACTGTGTAATTTAACTCATGAAAAATATAATAAATTTTGTTTTATTGCAAAGCTTTAAATATAAATCGCAGAATGCTTCAGTAAAAGGCTACTTATATATTGTTGTCTGTTATGTAAGTAATATTTTCAATGCTAAAAGTAAAACTCAAATATATGTAATCTAGTTGCATATTATCGGATTTCTCAAAAGGACACTGTCAGGCAAATTTGAAAATATACATATTGAGAATAATTTTTTATTATATCCTATTTTAATATTAACAGCTTACTATAAACAAAATTTCTCTTGTTAAATAGCAACTTCAGTATTGTATCATGTTTTACAGAACTATAGAAATCTATGACATCTTGATATAAACCATTCTTTTACTTAACACTTATATGTATCACGAAAGGATTTTCAAATTAATTGCAGAGTGTGTATTAAATATTGACTCAGAGTGAATTGCCTTTCTTATCCTGATTCACAGCACCTCTTCCTGTTCAATATTCTTTGTCTCAAATGAAAACAAGTCTGCATTCACAGAATCATAGGAAAAGTTAAATTATTACTTAGTAAAATGTTTTAGGTTGGTGCTCTTAATAATAATTTATTTAAAAATCCTTTTTGGAATATTTCAGAAAAGTTTTTTAAACAGTTTTTCCACTACTTTTCTATTATTGACATGTCTAAAACCAAATAATACAGCTTTGGAAATTAGATTTTTCGGTATTAGGAAGGTCCAACAATTTTGATTTCTGTCAAATTATGTAACTTTTTCTACCCTACAGTCACCTGGATTCTTTAGGTTTTTAAAATTCACTTAGTACACACACACACACACACACACACACACACACTCCACGTACATATATGCATAGCCACATACATACAGGCACAGCACTGCGATAAACACTGTGGAAACTTCAAAAGTCAGAGACATTATAGCTGGACGTTGAAGGCACACAAAATATGAGTGGTTATATATGCAAGTAAAATTTAATGTAAAAATACATGCGTGTAAGGTGCATAAAGGGATGAGTGTGAAGTTTGGTTAGACAAAAATATTCTGGAGAAATAGTCAGAAATAGAACAAGGATTTGTTCAGTGTCAAGGTAGGAAACAAAAAGACTCAAGAATAGGGAATTAAGAATTACTGTATAGTTTATTCCTTGTGACAGTATAAATTTAAATTTTAGGAATCCCTGTTGTTCCAAGCACCATGTATTCAGCATGAGAAAGATTGGTTTGTGATTGTGTATACGAGTCATCCCTAATGATAGATGTGCTGAACTGCCACATGCCACCTGAGGAACCTTTATAGAGTCAGATAGGAGGCCGTGATTGTTTCAAATACAGAATCCCATGAGAATTCTCTGGAACAGTCACTCAAGGCAGTTGGTCGGTTTCATCTGATAGTGCAACATCCAGAATATAGATTTGGTTCAGGGCAACTACAATCACTTAATGAGCCTTAAATATAGCCATTATTTTTATATTAGTAGCACAAAAGAAAACCAAAAGTCCTTAACCACTGGCCATTTTATCATATTTTAGGAATTTTTTAAAAATCAGGGTATAGTAGGCATTAAGTTTTATTAGGAAACATTGACTCCTGCTGAGGGATTTCCATATTTATTAAAAGTGCAATTTTTTTCAGAACACATTGACATTATTTTTTAATTCTTCATTTTTTCAATTTTTCAAATTATAATACAACATAAGACTGAGATATTTTCCTGTTGCTACAATGTGAATAGAATGAGAATAAATTGGAGGAAGGATATCATTGAGTACCCATGCTGTACATTTTGAGCATGCATTCTTTAATATAACCCTTGTCCCAGCACTGAGAGGTAATAAAGCAGCCTCACACAGCAGGACTAGGGACAAAGCTGGTAACTGAACACAAGTCTGTCTGCCCCTAAACTGTGTTCTTTCTCTTGTACCTGCACAACACTTAAAATTGGCAAAGTGAATTTTTACTTTCCAAGAAGCCACATGTGCCAAGAATAAATCAAATGATGCTAAAGCATAACATATTTAAAAATAACTTTTAAATATATATTTTCACCCTGACAGTGACCCTTGTTATAATTTATGATTTTTGGAAGTATTAGTATGTAAGTATAATTCAAAGTCGTCGAAATGTAAAACATTTAGGAATAACATTATTAGTAATTAATCTTTGAACATTCATTTTCCTTACATGATGTCTCCTTTTAACTGAGAAGTTTAAAACAAAACCTTGTGTGTTATCCTGATATAGTTGAATAAATGATTATGTGTATTTGTTCTTATATGGATAGTAATATGAATGTGACATGCACATATTGTCCTCATAATTTCAAAGAAGTGTAAACACTTGTGTGATAAATATTAAAGTGGACATTTATTTCAATCTGTGATTCATACTTATTATAATAGCAGATTTTCATTTATTTCTTATAAGGATATTTTCTGTTTAAGATGAAGTTTTGAAGTGTTCATAGTAGTAAATGTCAAATCTATGAGAAAGAATACAGAACTCAAAAACTCCTAATAAGCCATCAGTAGTTAAGAAATAAGGCATTTCAAATCAGTAGATAAAAGATGGACTATTCCATAAATATTACACTTTTTGATGGGGGGGGCTTATGCCATTATAAAAATAAATTTCAAATGGATTAAACACCTAAATGTTGAAACTGGAACTCCATGTGCATTGAAAGAAAAAATCATGTATCCCTTAGGATAGGGAAGATCTGATTTATACAGAAACAAAAAGAACAATTACAATGAAAGTATTAATGCGTTAGAATTTAGATGCCATAAAGGAAAGAGACACTAGCAGAAAATACAACTTATATAACAAAAGAAAAAGCAAGTGTGAAGAATACCCACAAATTGGTAAGAAAAAGATCAGTTACTGTAAGGGAAGAAAAATCTTTCCTTCCCCCTCTTAGGTTCTGTGCCTAGGCCTGAGAATTGCACTGCCAAAGGACAAGAGAAAAGCATAGACGTTTTACTTTGTTAATATTTTCATATGTACATGGAAAGCACGTAAAATGAAGACCCACAGAAGGAAGAGGCCTGAGAGCTTATATACCATTTCAACAAAGAATGATAAATTCTAAAAGTGTGACAAGACGGTAAGACAGGGAATTTCAGCCAGGGGTGGTAAATTGTGGGCAAGTGAATAGGAGATGTATGGAAGATAATAGGTGTGTTAGTGCATTCAGGTTTCTAGGGGAACAAAGTCATTTAGGAGATTTACTATCTTGGCTCACACAATCAGAGATTGGAAGTCCCACAGTGGCTGGCAGCAGGCTGGAGGACCGAGGAAAGCAGTAGCTGCTAAACTCAAGAAGCTGGGAGCCTCAGAACAACAGGGACCAGTGATGAAGCCCAGTCTGAGGCTGAAGGTTGAGAAGTCCCCTGGAGAAAGGCTTGTGGGAGTCCACATTCAGAGGCTGAAGAATCTGGAGTCTGACATCCATGCAAAAAATGCACAGGATGAAGAAGAATCAGCTTGTGTGCAAGCTTCCCTCTTCCACTTTTTGTTCCAAGCTGAAGTCCAGCTTATTGGACAGTGCTGCCCACATTCAGGCAGGCCTTCTACCTCAATGTGCTGACCATCCACATGCCAGTTGTGTCTGGACACACCCACACAGACACACCCAGAAATGTGCTTCACCAATTTTCTAGGCAGGTCCTAATCCACTCAAGTTCACAGTTGAGATTGACCACCACTGTAGCTTTGTTCCTACAGATTCAACTTAGTGTCGATTCCCCATCTCAGTGATGAGAATGTTCTTTATCTAGCATGAAGAAGGCACTTCTCTCCTGAGAAATTTTAGGCTCTGTTTTTAGGAATAAAAGCAGGAGGAGGTCAAAGAGGCCTTATGCACCAGCTATTGCTCATTTGGCTTTAACTCAATATGTGAAAGCATATTCTGATACCTTCACTACTTATTAAAATGACTAAATTATATAAACAGGTTATTCATCCAAGAGGAAACACAAAAGACCATTAAAATAATTCTGATCCTCACTATTGATTAGGAAAATGCAAATTAAAATAGTGAGCTGGTTTAACGAGACTGAGAAATTTTGAGAATATGGAGTTAAGAGTAAGTGAATGTTTCATGAGTGTGTTAGGAGTGCAAACTGCTCTAGTTGGGACAGTTTTGAGGTGTAACTTGGCATATTCGGACCTGGGGTTACGAATGGCAGAGTGAACTCTTAAGATGACAGAAAAAAGGCATTTTTTTAAATGGCATGAAGGAAAAATAAGAAAGGAGAAACAGCAACAGCAGCACTGAATAGTTGAAAGCTGATGGGTAAATGAAAACTGATTTGGTAAACTCAAGAAATCTGGAAACCAAGCCAGGAATGAGAAAAGCTGAGTGATGATCTTACAAAGAGGCACGGGAAGGGTTTATTAGATTTAGGATACACTCAAGAGTGGAGTGCTGGCGCTCAAAGAAACAAGACACATTTCAGTTTGGAATTTGTGTTTATTCCTCTTGTGAAGAGGTGGAAAAGCCCAGGAAAAGGTGATCCACCCTTCCCACCGAAGGGTATTAACTCATTCTATAGGTATGGGTGTTTTAGTTTTTTTCTTTTAATAGGCAATTTGAATGTTCTTTGGTTTCACTCAACCTGCTCCTTTTTCTTGGAATCAGGCCCCTGTTTCTTACATTTTCAATTAAACCTGTTTATGGACTTTTAATATTTTTGAGAAATTTTGGGTGTGGTGGGTCTGATAGGGAAGGAATCTAAATTTAACCAAAGGGATGTCAGTATATACCGCCTTGGGTAACTTTGCTGATTCCTAAAAGGTGTGGTCTTAAAAGTATGATTTTTTTTTGGTGTCTTTTAAAAAATCTGTCTTTTATTTCTTCTACCTCAGGAGGATAAAGCAAAGTATCCTATGTTAATTTTGTATTACTGTAACAAATACCCAAGATAATCAGCTTATATACAGGAAAGGTATGTTTTGGTTTAGAGTTTGGGAGGTGTTAAGTGCTGCATTATTTTAGGCCCTTTCACCTCATGGTTGAGAAGTGAAAAAGAGAGAGGAAGGACTGGCCCCCCACAGCAGAGGACAGCAAGGGCAGCACAGTGAGGCTCAGACATGGGGGTCTGTTACCACGGACAAATGACTTCCTCAGCACTGTCAGATCAGAGGACACCCAGCTTCCCCTGGGTTCAATTTTTATATGCTTCATAGGAAGTTCCTAGACTTGTCCATGTGTTTACCTCCCCTTATAAGTGTTAACTTCAGTACAACACTGATCCAAATAGCTAAAATATAGTTTTGGTGGCTTTTTCTATATTTGTTAGAAGTCTGACAGCATTTTCTTTAATGATATAAGGGAACACTTTATTGTTAATAGCCATAATTTCAGTTATCTTAAAAAATGCTCACTTGCCACAACTGTAATTATTTGAATCTAGGACTTATCTATGGAATTTTATGTAAATATAGAAGTTCAGGATCTATACCAGATATAGTCTCATTACTGAATATATTCCTAATGTACTAGGTGTAATGGCTTGAATCTAGATGTCTCCCCAAAGCCTCATGTGCTCATAGGTGGGGCTTTTTGGAGCTGGCTGGATCTAGGGTGTGTGATCCTTGGATTAAAAGTGTGTGGTGCTAAATTAGTCCACTGACTGGAGTTAGCATAGTTCTGGGGGTGGCTGAATGGATTTACTGAACAGAAGCCCCACCCTGAGTATGTGAAGCACCACCCAAAAAGCTTGTAGTGTGGATGCAATAAAAGGGAAAGACAGACTTGCTGCCTGCTGCTGCTGCTTGCTGCTTCCTGTCAGCCACACCATGGACTGTTTCTCCTCTGCAATGCCCCTCTGCCATGCCACTGTGCCTTGGAATCATCAGACTATGGACTAAAACCTCTAAAAACTGTGAGCTGAAATAAATCTTTTCTCCTTTAACTTTGGGTGTCAGGTATTTTGTCTCACTAACAAAAAAAGCAACTAAGACACTAAGTACAGTATATTATTTCTCAGGATTATTATATATGTCAAGATTTTTTTTTCTGTTATAAAAGTATGTTCATTTTTTGTGGATCAAAGATAACATTCACCACCTTTTATGAAAATAATACTAATCATTATCCTTAAATACATTTTTACCTTTTTTACTAATGCATATTAGATACACAGAATAATAAATTTTGTTTGGGAATATTCATACTTCCATATAACACATTTTGATGATTTCCTCCCTACCCCCATTCCTCCCATTCCCTTTCCCTTGATCCCTTTCTCCTTCTCTAATAGTTTCCCTTCATGTCATCTCTCTTTTACATTTTTTCAAGCTTTTTTTTCTAGATTCCTCATATGAGAGAAAACATGTGAAGTTAGAATTTCTGAGTTTGGCTTATTTCACTTAGCATGGTGGTCTCCAGCCTGAAAATGGCATGATTTCATTCTTCTTTATGGCTGAATAATAATCCATGCTATAGATATAATACATTTTCTTTATCCCTTGATATGTTGATAAATCCCTAGGCTGTCTCCTTAGTTTAGCTAATATGAATTGCCCTGCAATAAATACAAATGCACAGGCATCACTATAGTGTGCTGACTTTAATTCTTTTAGGAATATACCATGGAGTAGTGTGACTGGATCAAGTAGTAGTTCTAGTTTCAGATTTTTCAGGAACATTCATAATGATTTCCATAGTGGCTGTACTAATTTACATCCCACTGACATGTAGAGGATTCCCCTTTACCAGCATTTATTTTATTGATTGATTGATTGTATTCCTGATGATAGCTACTCTGACTAGCGATGGAATCTCAAAGTACTTTTGATTTACATTTATTCAATGGCCAAAGATGCTGAACTCTTTTTCATATTGGCCTTCTGTATTTTCAGAAGTATCTGTTTTGTTCACGTGGCCATTTATTGTTATTTGGTTCTCTTTTTTGGGGGGAGGTGTTAAGTTTTTTAAAATTCTTTACATATTCTGGATATTAACCTTCTGTCAGAAATTCTTTCTCATTCTGTAGGCTGGATTTTTACTTTTTTTCCTTTATTGTGCAGAAGTTTTTTTAAATGTGATACAGTTCCACTTGTTAATTCTTTCTATTATTTCCTGTGCTAATGGAGTCCTATTTGGGGAGTCTTTGTTGCCTATGGCTTCAGTGATTTTTCCTATGTTTTCATCTAGCAGTTTCAAATTTTCAGATTTTAAACCTATGTCTTTTATGGGGTTTTTTGGGGTTTTTTTTTGTTTTTTTTTGCTACCGGGGATCAAACTCGGGTACTTGTGCTTGTGAGGCAGGCGGCAGCACCACTGAGCTAAATCCCTGGCCCTTCTTTATTTTGAATTGATTTGGGCACAGGGAGAGGGGATCTAGTTTTAATCTTCTACATATGGATAT